CAATGAATACAATGAATGGAACACAAAATATCTTCAAAGAGTTCTCCGTTGGAAACAAGATATTACACGCCGATATGAAGCCCTATCATCGGAAAATATAATGGAAAGAAAAAGAAAAAAAAGTCATATACCTTGCTCTAATGACAAATTCCGACATATGGAATTGATTTAACGGTAAATGAAATCAAACCATGCACACATTTCATTAATAATATTCCAATTAAAAGAAAATATATTATTTTTATATATATGAAAAAAAATCATCTATATATGTATATATAATTATATATATATATATATATATATATATATATATATATAACACAAAAACATTGAAATTTAAATTTTATATAACATGTATGATGTGGAAAAATAACTTTCATATTTCAAGAAAAAGACCATCATAATTTAAAGAAGGATTAAAGTATTTTCAAATACATACAAATATATATATATATAAATATATATATATATATATATATATATAGAGAGAGAGAGATTTTTAGAGAGTCCATAATGTTAATAAAAAGACATTAAAATAAATTGATAATGAAATGGAATGCATAACGATTTAAAATAATATGAAAAAATTTGCTTAAGCAAAAAAGAAAATTACATGAGGCAAACCTTTGATTGCAATCAATGGGTCTGTTAATATCTAAGCTATTTTTTGATTGTTAATCTGTCTGTAAATTTTTATGTGATTCTTTTAAAAATCTATATAAATATCTATCTATATATCTATCTATCTATCTAAGGCAAAATTTTAATTTATCTCTATGTATCTGATTTTGTTCAAATATTTCTGATTTTTTTTTTAAAATTTTTAAAAATGCTATCTATCTATCAATCTATCTATATATATCTATATATATATATATAATAAAAAATCTTCATATTGATCTCTCGTTCTATGTAAAATGAATTCTGTCCAAATCAATCTGATTTTTTGTTTAAATCTACCTATCTGAATTCTGTTCAAAATATTTATTATCTATTATCTATCTATCTATCTATCTTAGGTTGATCATATCTATTTAATATCTATATATATAATATATATATATATAATAAACATATATGTTTATATATATATGTATATAAAAAAAAATTACTATCAAAAAAAAATATTACCATGTATAAATATCTTGTAATATTAAATAACATATTAATAGCTTGATATGGAAATAAAACAATTGCAAACCAAAGCAGATATCATGAAACGTATTTACAAGGATTATTATCCTCACCATTGTTGTTGTTAAATTTTTATTCCGGTCGTTTTGCTTTATATTTATTTTTGCGATAAATATATGGATTTAAAATGAAAATTTCAAATAGAATCTTGATTTAAATTACGGAGCTTAAATTGTTTTCGTTTTTTTTTTTATCATGTCTGGGCATATCATCCCTGATATTTAGATATAATTTTTTTTTCCTCCATTATTTTTTTTTTTATAAAAACGCTATAAATATTAAAGGGATTGAACTTTTATATTCATTGAATTTAAAAAAGGAACCATTTTGTAATCCATAGGAGATTTAATCAATTTGAAAACACAAAATTTAATCTTTAATTTATAATTTATATATGTGAACATGTATGTTTGAATAAGGAAGCAAAAATTTATGAACATTTTCATTTCCGACATAGCTGTCATATTATTTGACCGGATAGAAACTAACAGTTGCATTTGCTTTTTTTTTCTGGAAGAACGCACATCACTGGTGAACCGGAAGTGATCCAGTATTGCACCATAAATTACCAAGTGAATTAAATTTTGTATCATTCGGGAGAATAAAAATAATAAAATTAACGGATATATAAATATATATATTTAGATCAATATCGATAAGTATCGACTGGAATCATAACAGAGAGGTGAATGATGTTGAAAAAAAAAAATCCCCTAATGAACCTCTGCTAGAAACATCACTGATAATGTATACCAAATAATCCAACATATGTAATTTACGATATGTCAGCTTAATCATTTTTAGTATTAAAACTTATTTTTATACTTTCATAGTGTTTTGACACTAGTTTGAAGGTTAACTATTTGCCCATAGCTAGGAATCTAACAGGTACTACCAACCCTGGCTCAGGGTGGACCTGGGAACACCAGCAATTAGAGGGGGTCCACGCTCCTCAAAACCTCCTGATCAGAAGTCTTGCTGTTGGATATATTTTATCGTCTTACCGGACGCAGATGTAATTTAAAATCATACCCAGGACGTCATGTATTTGTAAATAACAAACTAAATCATTGATACGATAAATAAAAAAATGATTGATCGATCGAAGAAACTACATTTATATTATAAATTGTAAAAAATTTTTCAAAAAATACATAACCAGTATTTAAAATTTGGAAACAAAAGTCGAATTGGTTTGGGAAAATCCTCTAAAATGCTAATAGAAGAATAAAGATTATAAAATGAAAAAAAAAGGAAAAAAAAATGAATGGATGAATCTAAAAAGAAAAATGGAGCCGTTGTTGTAATTAAGAAAACGAAAGAAGATTGAAAAATGAAAAAATTAAGAAAAAGTGAAAAAAAAATAAAAAGAGAAATACAATGAAAAATTAGACAAAAATGCTACAAAACGGTGCCCGATAAAGATTAAATATAGCTCAAGACTTCCATATTAAGATAAATCAGTATTTAATTACAACTGCAAATAAATACTTAACAAGAACAAAGAAGTAAAATTCAACGAAAGATAATTAACCATTTTAGTGAATACCATGTTAGTAGAGCGGCTCGGTTTAACGTCAAAACAAATCCTAAATTAAAACCCAAATCATTGACGCACAATAATTCACACTAATTCGACTGGATAGTTCCACACATTAGTCACTCAATAATAAACCCAATCAGTAGCCTGACACCGCTATTTAAAAACCTGACAGAAAAGAAATAGTTACATAGTCTTTTTTAACGTGGCCGTTAATAATTAAGTACAACTCAAGACTTCAATGTTAAAGTAAAACAGTATTTAATTCCAACTGAAAAAAGAAATAAAAGTCAACTAAAGATAATTAAACATTTCACTGAATATTTTGTTAGTAGCGCGGCTCGGTTTATCGTCTGGTAAATCCTAAATCAAAACCCAAATCATCGACGCACAATAATTCACACTAATTCGACTGGATAGTTCCACTCAATAATCACCGCAGTCAGTAGCCTGATAGCGTTATGAAGACAGAAGAAAGAAAACGTCCAAAAACCCTGAAAGAAAAAAATTTTCAAAAAAATTTTTACTGGTGAACAATGAAGAAAGAAACTGCTTTATAAGGAAAAGAAAACAAGAAAGAAAAAAAAGAAAGGACAAGAAATATAAATTGAAAGAAATAAATGCAAAAAATAAGAAGACAAAAGTGAGGTGAGGAAATGAAGAGGAAGGGACAGAAGAAAGGGAAAGAAAAAGAAGAAAATGAAATAAATGAAGATTAGAAAAGGCTAAATGGAATAAAGAAAGAGAAAATATATGAAAAGTAAAAAATAAATAAATTAGCAAAAAGAAAGTAAAAGAAAAGGGGATAATACAAGAGAAAAAAGGAATGGGAAGAAGAAGAAAAGAAGAAGAAGAAAGAGAAAAGAAAGAGAAAAAGAAGAGAAGAAGAAGAAGAAGAAAGAGAAAAGAAAGAGAAGACGAAGAAGAAAAAGAAAGATAAGAAGAATAAGAAAGAGAAAAGAAGAAGAAAAAGAAGAAGAAAAGAAGAAGAAAGAGAAAAGAAAGAGAAGAAGAAAGAGAAGAAGACGAAGAAGAAAAGGAAAGAGAAAAAGAAGAAAGAGAAAAGACGAAGAGAAGAAGAAAAAGAAAGAGAAAAGAAGACGAAGAAGAAAGAAGAGAAAAAGAAAGAGAAGCAAAAGAAGAATAAGAAGAAAAAGAAAGAGAAAAGAAGACGAAGAAGACAGAGAAGAAGAAAGAGAAGAAAAAGAAAGAGAAAAAAAGAAGAAGAAGACAGAGAAGAAGAAAGTGAAGAAAAAGAAAGTAAGAATAGAACAACATTTGAAAAGCAAAATTGAATCTCTCCATATATGAAATCACTGGAAGCGTTTCCTCAGTTATAAAACCCTTCCCAACATTTAGACTCCTGAAGGTAATTATTAACGGCCAAGCCCTGGCGATCAACGCAGGCTTCACCCGAGGGCCAGTTCTCGGATCAACCTTCTTTCTGATTTACATAAATGATCTGCCTATGAATATACTCAGATTTGTAAACATCTACGCCTCGATGATAGGACGATATACTTGCGCATCGCTAAAATTATTGATGAGCAGAGATTGGCAGCTGACCTCTCTTCCAAAATCCAAACTAGTTACATTCCATTACCGCCGATCGGACACCGAACTACGGCTAGTTACGATGAACGGATGTCCCCTCGAGGAGGCAACGTGCCTTGAGAGGATATTGGACCTCAAATTCACCCCCCGACCTCTAGTGGTACTCTTATATACGATCCATCGCTAAGGAGGAAAATAAAACGATCGGCTGCATGTAAAAAAGAAAAAGAAGATAAAGACAGGAAAATAAAACAAGAAGAAAGGAGCATTTCGGCTGAGTGATACTTGTTGTTGTTTTAAGGGAGAGAGAGAGAGTCAATGAGAGAGAGAGAGAGAGAGAGTCAAAGTGAGTCAAACAAGGAGAGTCAAAAAGAAAGAGTCAAAAAGGAGAGTCAGAGAGGGAGAGTCAAACAAGGAGAAATAAACAGAGATTGTCAAAAAGAGAGAGTCAATACAGAGATACAGAAAGAGAGAGTCAAACAAGAAGAGTCAAAAAGAGAGTGTCAAAAAGGAGAGTCAGAGAGGGAGAGTCAAACAAGGAGAGATAAACAGAGATTGTCAAAAAGAGAGAGTCAATAGAGAGATACAGAAAGAGAGAGTCAAACAAGAAGAGTCAAAAAGTGAGAGTCAAACAAAGAGAGACAGCGGGCGTCAAAAATAGAAAGTCATAGAAAGAGTGTGTCAGCAAGAGAGTGCCAACAAGAGTGGGTCAAAAAGAGAGATATAAAGTGGATAAGTCAAACAGATTCAAAGAGAGAGAGAGAGAGAGAGAGATAGAGGGGGTCAAGCAAGGAGAGTCAAAAGAGAAAGACAAAAAAGTAGAGACAGAGAAAGAATAAAAAGGGAGAGTCAAAAATGTTATAAACATTAAAATAAAGAAGTAAGGTAAAAAAAGGAAGGGCATATTAGAAGCAATTAAAAAAAAGAAAAGGAACGAAAAAGGAGAAAATCGGAAATTTGGAAGAGGAAATAGAAGAAGAGGAAATAGAAGAAGAAGAAAAGAAAAACGAAAATAAAATAAAGAATAGTAAGAAGAATTAAAAAAAAACGAACAAAAATGTAAAGGAAAATGATAAAAAACGAACACCAAATTAAACTACAAAATAGATGAAGAAAAGAAGAATGGCTCATAAAATAGATAAAAAAAAGAAAAGGAAGACATCAAGAGGAGAAATGAAAAAAACGTAAAGAATGAAAAAACTAAAAAAAAAAAATAAAAGAGAAAATACGGAGAAAAATCGTGAAGAAAAGGCGGAAAGCAGAGAAGAAAACACGTTGAAAACGAAAAGGAGAAGATAACAAAAGACTAAGAATAGGAGATAAAAAAAAAGAAAAAAAAAAGGATTATGAAAAAAGAAGAAGAATGAAGAAGTAGAAAAAAGAAGCAAAAGAGGAAGAATTAGAAGTGGAAAGAAGGAAACGATAAAGAAAAGAAAGGGAACAAGAACAGAAAAAGGAAACACGTAGTGAAGAAGAAAATAAAATAAAAGGAAAAGAACGAGAAACAAAGAAAAACAAGCGAAACGAAAGAAACAGAAAGAAAAACATAAGATACAGAAAAAGAATAAAAAAGAAAAATCAAAATGAAAGAAGACATGGAAGGAAAATAAGAGAGAAGAGAATAAAGGTAATTAACAAAAAAAAAAGGAAAGAATGAAAATGAAAAAAGAAAAGAAAAGACACTAGAAAAGAAAGGAAATAAGCTATAGAAGGAAAAAGCAATACATATATAACCAAGAAAGAAAAAAGAATGAAAAACGCTTTCATTCTTTATTCTTTCTTGTCCATATGTTTTTAATTTTTAGTCTACTCTAATAATAACGTCAACTGCATAAAACAAAGCAATTTACAAATACATTGCATTTCTTTACATTGTTAAAAGAAAAACGAACCGTGTATAATGTCAAAAGTACGCAGGTGTGGGCTTTAAGAAAATTTGTATTCAACTGAGAATACAAGGCTCGCTTATAGTGTCATTTTATACTCCCAGTAAACAAGAATAGTTCTCTCAAAGAGGAGAGTAACGAAACAAGGGGAGACCACTCATGATTATTCAAAGCACAAAGTATTTACATAGTAAGATCATTTGCAATGCATTTTCATAGTAAAATCATGGGCAATACTTTCTTATCGTAAAATCATTTGTAATACATTTTTATCGTAAAATCATTGACAATGCATTTTCATAGTAAAATCATTTGTAATGCATTTTCATAGTAAAATCTTGTGCAAGGCATTTTGATAGTAAAATCATTGGCAATGCATTTTTATAGTAAAATCATTTGCAATGCATTTTCATAGAAAACAACTTGTGCAATGCATTTTCATAGTAAAATCATTGGCAACGCTTTTTTTATCGTAAAATAATTTGCAATGCTTTTTCACAGTAAAATCTTTTGCAATGCTTTATTATCGTAAAATCATTGGCAATGCATTTTCATGGTAAAATCATTGGCAATGCATTTTCATGGTAAAATCATTGGCAATGCATTTTCATGGTAAAATCATTGGCAATGCATTTTCATGGTAAAATCATTGGCAATGCATTTTCATAGTAAAATCATTGGCAATGCATTTTCATGGTAAAATCATTGGCAATGCATTTTCATAGTAAAATCATTGGCAATGCATTTTCATGGTAAAATCATTGGCAATGCATTTTCATGGTAAAATCATTGGCAATGCATTTTCATAGTAAAATCATTTGCAATGCTTTTTCATAGTAAAATCATTTGCAATGCTTTTTCATAGTAAAATCATTTGCAATGCTTTTTCATAGTAAAATCATTTGCAATGTGTAATGATAAAAATTACGCAGGTGTAGGCTTTAAGAAAGCTTTATTCAACTGCGAATACAACGGACACGTATAGTGTCCCAGTAGACAAAAATAGCTCTCCCAAAGAGGAGAGTAATAAAACAAGATACCACTCATGACTATTCATAACACCATGCTTCTGTTCAAGTGGCATTTAATTTATGACTCCTCACTTGTTAGAATTGAAATAAATATTAAAAAAACTGATAAATTATGAATTAAAAGTACAATGCATTTTTTTATAATTTTCTTTTTAAAAAAACAAAGGGCATATAAGCAAAAACAAGTTATCTTTCTTTTAATACCGTAAAAAAAGTTTTTTAAGTTTTCCCGATTTAGGAAAAAGCGCTAACGTCTTTGTTTATTGATGTATCCCCAATTTTATTTAAAAATAAATAAATAAACACAATTGTATTTTTTATTTCATAATTTATCAGTCAGGTATTATAAAACCGCGTTAACGGAAACACGGAAAAAAAACTGGCATCAAATGGGTATTAAATTCTGAAATGGATAAAAAATATATATATATATATATATATATATATATATATATATATATATATATATATAATAATCCGTTGGTAAATTGATCCAAGTGAATCATATTAATACAATATAAAATATTAAAACAGATTCACACATAGAACACAATATTTTAATTAAGCAGAGCAATATAATTTATACAAGAGGAATTAAGATTACATTAGGTTGATGATCATTTTCACCATGTAAAATGAAATTAAATTTACAAGGATTTTTCAAACCAGTCAGTGGATGATAAATTATTGAGATAAAATATAATAATAATTTATCATCCATTAACTGGTTGGAAAAGTCCTTGTAAATTTTATTTCATTTTGCAAGGTGAAAATGATCATTAACCTAATGTGAAGAGAAGAAGAAGAAAAAGAACAACAACAACAACAACAAAAAGATTATGTTGAAGAAGAAACCTATTTGGAAAAGAAACCGAGAAAGAAGAAGAAGAAGAAGAAGAAGAAGAAGAAGAAGAAGAAGAAAAGAAGAGTTCAGACAAGAAGAAGAAGAAGTAGAGGTAGAAGGAGAAGTAGAAGAATTCAGAGAAGAAGATTTCAGAGAAGAATTTAGAGAAGAAAAATTCAGAGAAGAAGAAGTATTCAGAGAACAAGAACAAGAATTAAAAGAAGAAGAAGAAGAAGAAGAAGAAGAAGAAAAGAAGAAAAGAAGAAGAAGAAGAAGAAGAAGAAGAAGAAGAAGAACAACAACAACAACAACAACAAAAAAACAAAATCAGCAAGATGATTATGAAGAAGAAACGGATTCGGAAAGAAACCAAAAAAGAAAAAAAAAATTACACATTTTATAAAAAATATCAAGAGAAACCCGCGAAATAAATAAGCTAAATTGATGGGAATGAAGGGCTGAGAAAAAAAAATCTTTCTTTCGTCGCAATTAATAAACTAGACGCGTGGAAGTGTGCATAAAAGTAAGCCGATGTATTAAATTGAGGAAACGGCAACGGATATCACTCAGGCATTCAGTCAATCAGAGCTAACGTAATAATTTAATGACTCCGAAATAGCTACCAGGCTGCGCTGATGGCCGGCTCATAAGTAATAATTGGACCGCTTCAGTGCTAGAGAAGGCATCATGTCCGGTATGGATGCATTCATGTAGATTTACATATGAATAAGAGAATGTGGCTCTTGTAGAAGAAATTGCCGGTTCCATTTAAGAACCGGTAAATTTGCTTACAGGTTTAAATCTTTCAAAAATAAAACCAAAAATATTCTGTTTATTTTCTCTTGGGTTGGTGTTAGGTTTAAATGTCTTCTTTTTTTATTCTTTCATTTAAATTATACTTCTTCCTAGTTCTTTACATTTTCTCTTTCAGCTTCACGTGGAACGGTAAGCACTGATTGGCAGAAAAAAAGGGATTGTTGTCAGCAATAGAGAAAGTCCAAGATGTCAACTAGGAATTGGAAGTATCAAAATTAAAAGGACTATAAAAGAACTAAGAAGTGTTTCAATAGAGGATAGGAAACGTAACAGTAAAATCACAAGGTTCCGTAGCAATACAATTTCTCACATATCCTAAGGATATTAATAGATAGATACTTTTATTTTTCCTTTTAAGTCAATTTAATGACTAGCGTTTCTTAGGAATCTTGTCTCCAACCTACCTTTGGGTAAATTTGGTTGGTTTGGTTTGATTTGTTTTACGGCATATCAACCTTTGTGCGTTATTTAATGCCAACAATACTTTTATTGCTGGTAATATTTTATTTTTCAAAAATGTATAGTATTATATGTTAATAATTGTAGGGAAGCAAAGTTCTCAAAATCTATTGGTTATGTCGGTTTTCTGGTTTCAGAAGTAAGAAATAATGCTAAGAATGGTTATAATGGTCGAGTTCAAGTCAACTGCGTGCTGAGTTGGAACGAACAAATAACTGCTGTACTTACGGTAAGGGTGTGCTGAGTTTGGGGGAAAACACCTAGCCAATTGAGCTCCCAAACCTACGGGCTAACAGGGAGATATAGGAACGAGACGCGAGGAAACAAAACAACAATGACTCAGTAACCAAAGCAGAGCGGATAGCACGCAACTCGAAGAAAAAAATGTCCAAAAGAAACGACTTCTCAAGATACGGACTCTCGCCACTTGCCCACTGATGACTGCTTGTTTTCCCATCGCTTTTATTGACAGGAGACAAATGGCAGAAACCTGGAGAGGCCTGTATCTGAACATGCCAAACTGTTCTGTTGCTAACAAATAAAACTGCAATTCGTTTTATTAGACATGTCCGCACGCGATTTGGGGTCACTTTTGTGCATGTACTGACGCGCAGTCACCACACTTTCTTCATGGGTGGAGATGCGAAAACACGTGCGAAAGTTAGAACGGCCAAAATAAAACTTATTCCTTGGTGGAGGTTCGGCAAAACACGCCCGCACACCATACGTTAGAAAGTTCTGCTCCAGAACTAAGCTCGGACAAGTCACGAGAAACATTGTTATAATGATCGAAATCAAATCAGCCATGCGCAGAGTTGGAATGACCAAAGTGAAGGATATATTTGCTTTATCCGTCAGTCAACTGGGAAAAGGACGTCCTACCTGATCTTGAAGCAAAGAAGGATGCTTGTCTTTTTATAGAAGCTAAACAGCGCCACCCTCGGGAATTTAGCGAAGCCAAGTGGTGTATTAAAGTTTCCCGTTCCTTTATTCCTAGTATCATGAGAAAATGCATGAATTTTTTTCTTTTTTTATTCATTATTACTATTTCCTTCATTGATTTTATTTCTTTTTCCCACAGATCTCTTCCAAAAAGTAAATCTGTCCTTGGTATGGCGATAAACTACATCTACGTCTTGAGTAAGACGATACACGACGTGCAAGATCAAGAGCAAGATCAGAATGTTTTCAGGAGCGTAGAACCAACTCTTTATTGCCGGTGTTCCCAAGTCTACCCTAATCCGGGGTGGTAGCACCTGCTAGGGTCGCAGCTATTGGGAAGTAGTTGGCTCCCAGGCTGGGGACGGAGCACTATGCAAGTGTAAAAATAGGTTTTAATACCAGAAATACATTGAAAAAATTATTACCAGCAATAAATTGTTGAAAGAAAAGAAAAAACTTATTACTAGCAATACATTATTACCAGTAATACATTTTTGAAAAGAAATATTACCAGCAATACATTTAAAAAAAAATATATTACCAGCGATAAATTTTAGAGAAAAAATATTACCAGAAATAGATTTTTAATGGAAAAAATATTACCAGCAATGCATTTTTAAAAAACAAAATATTACCATCGATACATTTTGGAGAAAAAAATATTACCAGAAATAGATATTTGAAGGTAAAAATATTACCAGTAGTATTTTTTTTTAAATATTACAAGCGATACATTTTGGAGAAAAAATATTACCAGAAATAGATTTTTAAAGGAAAAATATTACCAGAAATACATTAATATATATATATATATATATATATATATATATATATATATATATATATATATATATAACCATCGATACATTTTGGAGAAAAATATTACTAGAAATAGATTTTTGAAGGAAATAATATTACATTTTTGAAAAATCGGCATTAAATAACCCATTGAGGTTGATATACCGTAAAACAAATGAAACCAAACGTAAAGCAAAAACTAAACAGTGAACATATAGGAAAACCACCTTAGGATCAAAGAAAATTTTACTGAACTGCTATATAACATCAATCCTCAGATATGGCAGTAAATGCTGGGTTTTCCCTCATAAATCTAGAGACAACCCGAGTTAACAGAGATATGGATCTACCGATGAATACCGAGGAGACAATGGGCAGTAAGTGAAGTAAAGAGGAGATTTTAAAGGAAAATGGAAACAAAACTCATGTTTTTATCTAGAATAAGAAAATAAAAAAATTCTGTCGCTAAATGAGTAAAGACGGTTTAGTGACTTTAACGTTCATAGGACGTACAAGGGTCGTTCAGTTCTAAGCCTCACCCAGAAATAAGAGCCATAGCTGAACATTTTTATCGTGGCAAAACACTACCACTTCTTATAATACTTGAAAAACTAATTAAGATTTTTGTCTTTTCTGAGCAGGTGAGGTCCATACGAATCTCAGAGGTTTACGACAAATCTAAAAAATATACAAAGCAGAGACCCAAACAGTCATAAGTTATCTGCAAAAGAAAGGTATGACAGCTAAGGAAATCTACGAGGACATGGTATACCCATTTGCTGAAGATTTCTCCTTCCTCTGCAAATGTGAAGGGGAGGATTAGGGAATTTAAGCGGGGCTGGGAACACACAGAAGATGGTCCTCGGTTTGAGAGTCCAAAAACTTTGTTATGTTATGAGAGAGAGAAAGGAGGTAAACGATAGCAGAGAAAAAAACAAGTAGAAAGAAAGAAAGAAAGAAAGTAAAAAATAACAAAGAAAGAAAGAAAGAAAGTGAAAAAAGACCAAATGAAGGTAAGATATATTGAGAAATACAGATAAAGATAGGCATAAAGAGAGAGAAAGAGAGAGACAGAGAGAGAAAGGTGGCAAACGATAAGAAGCAGAGAAAAAACAAGTAGAAAGAAAGAAAGAAAGAAAGAAAGTAAAAAATAACAAAGAAAGAAAGAAAGAAAGTGAAAAATGGCCAAATGAAGGTAAGATATATTGAGAAATACAGATAAAGATAGGCAGAGAGAGAGAGAGAGAAAGAGAGAGAGAAAGTTGGCAAACGATAAGAAGTAGAGAAAAACAAATACAAAGAAAGAAAGTAAAAATTAACAAAGAAAGAAAGTGAAAAAAGACCAAATGAAGGTAAGATATATTGAGAAATACAGATAAAGATAGGCATAGAGAGAGAAAGAGAGAGACAGAGACAGAGAGAGAGAAAGGTGG